AAACAATGTCATTTAATAAAACTATTTTTACAAGAGAGACATCGTCCCAGATTCTTTTGAATAAATGTACTTGATTTTCGAAAACTAATTTTTATTAAATTCAACATTTTTGTGAAAGTATGGTGATGGTAGCAGCTATTTTCCTCTTGTTTAATCTAACAATCTGATAAATATCGGCCGACAGAAACATGTACAGGAATAGTACTTGAAATATTCATAAAATATCTTAAGTTTCGAAGGGAAGACGAATGTTTTGAACGGTTTTGTAGCCATCTTTTTTTCATTCAAATAACACATGTTATCATCAATGGCATGCGTTCTCAGGCACTGCTAACAATAGTCAGTTAGAGGGAATTTCAATGTAATTCTAATAGTAATCATTCATTGAGTATGATGTGACTGATGTCTGTTGACCACTGCCAACTAGATGTGTTTTCAATTCAATATTTTCGCGTTTCAGTTGCTGTATTTGTATTTCACACTGTTTACGCTTCAATTTTTGTTGTTCTAAACTTGTTTCTAATGTTTCAATATACTGACGACGACGTTCACGACATCGTCTCGCGGCTTCACGATTACTATCACGAATTTGTTTTCGACGAAGAGCATTCACAGATAGAACTGAAGATGAAGATGGTGGTGGTAGTGGTATTTTTTGACGCTTCCATTTATGGCAAATTTGATTACTCGATGTGACCTCGTTTAATGTAGATACGGGATGCGCTTGAATAACAGATACAGGCTTCGAACATAGTGGACCTAAATCGAAAAATTGTTTTTCAAGTTCGAAATTGGAAATATGGCCGTCTTACAACAAACATAATGAAAACTGCTTCACTATTATCAATCGATAGTATGTTATGTATACGAATAAAAACTATTGTAGTTTTGTTTTGTCTCGTAGCTGTCGAATGAGAATAAATTACTGTTTTGTGCAACAAATATCTCACGCTTTGAAATAGTGTAGAGAAAAACAGCTTTATAATGTGTTTTGTTATGCGAAGTGATGCCAGTATGATAAATAACCTACCATTTTTATTTTGGATGATTTTTGATTGTCCACTGGTATCTGTTTCAACTTGAAATGTAAATGGCTGCTGATGATCGATAATAATTTGTATACATTTCGAATTCGTTGGATCACCGGGCACTGATATTCGACTATTAGTAGAATTGGATACTACAGACTGATTAATAAATTCATTATTCGATTGGCTTCTCATTAGGAATTTCTTCTTTGGCGAAAACATAGATGACGAATAATCGGAGTCGGGTGATACAACATGTATGTCACTTCTATGAGCAGTTTTATCGAGTAAAGGAATTGTGTCAGAAAACTTTGAGTTTTGTATATCTTCAATAACAAGCATTACCTGAAACGATAAATGAATTATTAGGGTTTATATTGAGATAGAAGTGAAACCATCAAAGGTCTTAAATATATTAAAAAAGGTCAATTCTATCTGTAGTTTGAACTCACGAGGGATCCTTTCCAACTGCCTAATCGCTTTCTGGTTGAAGCCTAGTGAGTTATAGGTTATCGACCACGCTGATTCCGAATATCCATATGAGACGATCCGCTAGGCCTTTCTAGAGCGGTTTTCTGGAAAACTGGTTTTTCAGAAACCTCCAAAAGTTTCTAAAACTTTCTCTTAATAGATCATGATGGTAGCCCACGAAAGTCTGACCATAATGAGACATCTCCCACCTCTACATAAACTTTTCTTTGCAAAGTTATAGAATTTACAATAAAAGCCCTAAATTAATTTCTTCTTATTTCTGTAGGTTTGAGCTGACAATGAACATTTAGGGCTTTTATTGTAAATTCTATAACTTTGTAAAGAAAGGTCATGTAGAGGTGGGAGATGTCTCATTATGGTCAGAATTTCGTGGGCTACAATCGTGATCTATTAAGAGAAAGTTTTATGAACTTTTCAAGGTTTTCAGAAAACCGCTCTAGAAAGGCCTAGCATCTCGTCTCATATGGATATTCGGAATCAGCGTGGTCGATAACCTATAACTCACCAGGCTTCGACCAGAAAGCGATTAGACAGTTGGAAAGGGTCTCTCGTCAGTTATAGCTTCAAATTATCTGTATTCACTATAAAACCGTTGTATCTTCTGACTAGAGCATAGCTTGAGAAAGAAAATGGTCGATGTATATTTTATAAGATCTTAGAGGAATTCATTAGAACAATCAACATCACTTGTCTGCTTTTTTTATTACCGAGTCCTTACTTTGAGTATTTTCTATTATCTATTTCAGAATAATATGAGCTCTACCATAACTCTCTAATAAAGATAGACACGGAAGTGCAATTTACACAGGATTCAAGCAACTCACACAGAATCGGTTCAAATACTTGAAAATTTCAAAATATACACTACTCTACATACATACGCTAAACCTGCGGTAAACTGAAAGAAAATATTTTGAGAAGACAATTGTTTTGTTTTTCTTTGGAAACACTTAGGACATGTTTTCATATTTTGAAGTATACTAACGCTGTAATATGAAGCAGCTAGGGTAGAATATATTCTAAAGTTTTGAAGTCTTTTTTTGAGTACGTTAGGAGTGTTTCGATTCTGCATGAGAATATAGTGCTCTTAGCTATCTGTCAAAAAAAAAGAAATCAATGTATCCGTAACTTTTTAAGAATTTCATTTCAAGTCATAAGCTAATTTTTAAAAAATTTTCTATTAGAAAATTTGTTAACTTATTCTTCTATGAAAAGATCTTATCTTGTTTTTCAAACGGCGAAAACTGCAATTCCATGGCTATCTTCGCTCAAAATTTATTCAAAAAATGGTTAGAAGCTTGAGGGTCGTGCTTAGTCCTTTTTGTTACACTTTACTTAGTACTCAGATGATGTGTAAAGTCGAAGAAAGGAAACAAGTTCAGCATTTTTTCTAATATATTGATGTCGTATACATATCGTACCAAAGCTAATGTATTATTCATATACAGTGCCATCGTTGCGTTTTGAATAACTTTTTGATAGAAAAATAAAAGAAATCTGCGGTTTTCAGTTTTGGAAACTAGACACTTGAAGCTACATTTTCATGAGCAAAATCGATATTTGAAAAGGTTTCCGAAGTCGGTTTCTCAGAGGATCTTTGGAAAACCAGTTTGGATCTCTGAAATCTGACATAGAAATAGGTCAATTCTTTTTGATACATATATAGTTCGAAGTGTCCACTACAAAACTGCATCTAAGCGATATCTTGAAAATCCATGCTTCGGGAGCTATGGATGTTTTACATAAAGCCTTAGCACTTCTGTGCTATTAGGTTTGGGACTGTTAGAAATGCATAAAAACATAGGTTATCGACTATGCTGAATCTCGTGGCAATGTTAGTTTTCAGCACAAAATGCCACAACCGAGTGAAAACCTGTATTAGGTGATTATTTTCATCAAAAACTAAAACATTCATCACTCAGTCAAAATCCATCCAACCTACTTCAGAATATCAAGATATACTCTATTTTATCGGCTCATTCTGATTCAGTACTTAAAATCATTCAAAAACATTCTCTTAGTTCTGAAGGTTTCTGGAAAACCTGTCTAGAAATCAGAGTATTTTCTGTTGGTTTTTACAACATCCATTGAACTTTAATAAATAAGTTCTAACTAGAATAAACCACTTTTAGATTATGAAATAATTACGTGAAAATCTTGTAAAATCATCAGAAGAGTCTATCATACGATTCCATGAGAACCATCAGATCTTCTCAGCTGTTGTAAGATGTTTCATTTCGGTATCTGTCAAATTCCAAAAGGTCTGCCTCCATTCTCCTCATTACTATATGACAAAAATATTTTTCTATATGTAATGGTTATGCTATTTTTCTAGTGAATCATTCAGTTTTGTGAAACTAACTTTATCTATTAATTACTACTATTCATACCTTTGTTAGTTAATTGTAAGATACTTTCATCACTGTAAAATAACTTGAACTAATTCTCTCTTAAACTTTCTCGTTCTCATCGTATGCATGACTCAAATAATAAGTAAGAATTGTTCGCACAATACTCACTTCAGCTGTTGATGGCACAGGAATAGATGTTAGTGATTCGGCAGGCATTAATTCTTGTTTAACCGATGAGAATAATTTCTGAAACGGTGATTGGGTCGGTTGACGTGTTTTAACACATTGTTTCAATTCGGTTTTGATTACATGAACTGGATCTGATGTTATCATTGGAGTAGTCAATACCGTTGGACTATCCTCACACACTGGCAAAGAAGTGCATTCCATTACAACTTTCAATCGTAATTAAATCCAAGACTAGTTGACCTTGTTTTGCTACAAGCAGCAAATAGATTAAAAGAAATGTTTATGAAAAATCATTCAACATAGAACATTAAACAAGAAAAAATCCTATACAACGTCTTATAATTTTTTTGTAGAAAACATCGAAGTTTAGAATGTCGTTCCAGTAGTTTAAGTTCTTCAAAGTTTATTCAGAAAATCGTCGGTATAAAAGATGTTTTTATTTAGATGACAATACTAAGTTTTAAGACAAATTTTGAAAAACAGATTGTATAAAGAAACAATCTATTTATGCGTTCATTCTCTTTATAGAAGAGTAAACCAGCGTGTACTATTTTCACAAATGAGAAGAAGAAACCTAACAATCTGCAAAGATTTTTACGCATTTGTTCATCGAATAAAACAACGATTACTGTGTACAGTGTTGAGAGGTTCCAGTTCAACAACTAAATCTTCAATCACAAAAACCAAACTAAGATTCATCATGAAAATTAGATATGTATTATTAGAACTATGCATTGTTTCAATAGTAAATGACATCCAACTTACTTGTGTTTCTGATATACTACACTGATCCGACCAAAGAAGAAAGAATCATTGGTTTTGTTACAGGAAAGATAAGAAAGTATTTTGTTTATCATAAACGCCTCTGCCTTTGTTTTGAATTCCTTTTCCTTCATGTATTATCGGAGGGGACATGCAAATATGTACATGATGTATGTTAGAAACGAAATACCAAAAAATAATTATCTTCTTGAAAACAAGAGCATATGAGGAACCAAGGATTAAATAAACTAAATTAAAACCATCATCAAGATTTATCATTTAATAGAGTAGTTTTTAGCCTTTTGCTTACTTGTATCGGTGATGATCGATTGTATCATCTTAATAAAACATCAAGAGTGTTTTGTAGAAAAAAGAGAACTCATATTTTGTTGTAAAATTGGACACAAATGAACTGAGATCATGGTTTCAATATAATTTTTCTTATACCTTATGAGTTTTTATCACAGGGCTCTTTAGAGTCCAACACGGATTTTCCGCCACTGTTAGCTAAAGAATTTACCATTTTGAAAGTTTTTAAACTGAACATTTCTTTTCTCATAGATTGTTAGAAGAAAGTTTCGTCTTTTAAACTGTTACATACCTTCACAGCACATGAGGAATGAAGATTTACATCGAACAGAGTTCATCTCGCAGTTTTGTCTTTTTTCCTTCCTGCAGCTCTGGGTAGAGAAGTAGACGAAAGTTATAGAACTTTTCATTTAATAAAAAAACCATTCTCTTCCACTGTGAGAAGTTACAAATTTTTAACTGAAAAACTGAGTATTTTATGGGAACTTCAGTTCCCAAAAAAAAGCCTGTACAGGGTTCTAAAGTTGTTGCGTATTTATTCTATAAATTGTAACTTAGAGTAGTCTCTATACCTCAACTACTCAATAAACAAATCAATTTTTTTGTCTTTTCATTGTTAGTGATCGTACAACCGAACTAATTTGACTACTACTAGGGGTATACCATAACCCCCTAGTTTGTTTTTGCTTGAAAACTGATGACTGATGGAACGCGTATTTTAATGAGAGAAGAATCTGGATTGTATATATGTACAGTAATGAATTTTTCTAGTTGATGCTCAAGTGGTGATCGATCTTTCAAAATTAAAGACATTTGTGATTAGTGAGGATAATGTGACCTTCATTTATGTCCAGTGCATAACACTGTCTCGACGTAAAATGTCGATGCATTATATTCTCAACATATAAATATAGTCATTAAATATGATCATATCCAGCTGTTCTTCATACGCGCTACTAAATAATTCTTGTTAAACTTTTATCAATAATCCTGACAGTGACAGTTGTCATCATATAAGTTGTATATAAGAAGCTGATCAAACGACTCTAAAAATTAAAATCAATGTTTAGTTTTCAACGAGCTTGAGGACTTTACTATTTAACCGATATGAGAATGTTATTTTTATGTTAATGATTAAGTATTGGTGGAATGCTCATTTCATTACATTACAGATAGAGCAAATGACGAGCGGAGAAGAGAAGTTATTGTTTGCATAAGAAATGATATTAGACACCGTGTTGTAGCTAGATCAGGGACTCTTGAGTCTATAGCCGTGGCTCTTTATTACGCGTATGAAGCCATTGTCTTCTTCAATAACTATCGTATACCTACATCAAAACAATTGAACGAATACTTTGAGGCGTTTGAATACTTTTCTCGTAGTACTGAATACTTCTCAGCATAGTAGAAAATGATGAGTACATGATTATTCTAAGCGATCTCAATGCGAAATTTATTTCAGAACGTGTTAAGAAATTATGCAGCACCTTTCCTCTCACTTGTTCCTTTACCAAAATACAACCACAAGAAATTCGTGTGTTGACAATATTTACTGTCCAGAAATTTAGGAAAAACTCTGCGTTCGACATTTCAGTCCCTTGGAGAAATCTATACATGGTACTGTAATAGCTAATTTTTCCTTATTACATACACTTGTAGTACATCTTCCTATTCTCGTTCGTAATTCAAAAACAGTGATTACAGTATCGGACAAGATTTTTTTCCGTTTCAGAGATTATGATCTAACAGTGAGTGGATGGTTAAAACATATTAATTTTTGTCTAAATATTCATGTCTCGCTCATTTTATTAAACGGAAAAGATCAAGAAAATAGAGCTTTTCGGTATTTAAAACGGAAATGAAACGAGGCTTCTTCACAGCTAATGAGAATGCGGAAATCTTCAGTAGCAATTTTCGCACACTAAATTCAAAAAGTTTTGTAACAAAGTTATCAAAGAAATTCGGTCTTAAAAAACGAAATAGCGGCTGTCAGTTATATCCAAATTCAAAAATCCTAAGAAATTTTCCTCTATAAGTATCTGTAGGAAAGAAAGCAAAGATATACTAGTTACAATGACACTTGATATGCCCAATAACGCAATCAAACAAGGAGTAATATGATCACGGTTGAGTTTTTAAAACGTATGACCACTCACCAATTCTATCACTTGTTTCATTGCTCACTTGTGGCTGTGACATCAGGTATGCGTCAAGGGATGCTTTTGGGTCCAGTTGAGTCCACCAAGAGTTTTTGACCATTGAGCCAACTCCATTTGTTCAAAAGAAACGACTGGGTCACACTATGGCAATTCGAGCAAATATTGGGTCCCAAAAACCCTTTTTACAAATTTTCAGCTATGGAAATAGTTCAAAATCGCATTGGGCTAAGGCCCGCTGCTCCCTCCTCACGTAGTTACGCCACTGTCTGGATCATTTACTCTTCTATTGTTTATCAACAAGCTTCCGTCCTCCATGAATGCCTCCACTATTCACACCATGTTCGCTATACTAAGCAGTAATCTTCTGAAACGTATCACTGGAGTTAAATCATTAGGGAATCTGTTAACACACAATCTAAAATGGGATCGATACATTGAAGATGTGCTAAATACGTGTCGAAAACTGGTGGATATAATAACCAAACGTTTCATGAGAACGGCGCCATAGTGTTTGACAGCACTTTTGAGATCCATCCGAAACCTTTGAATTCGGTACAGCACTTGGCTCTTCGAATCATACTCAGCGGCTTTCTCTCTCAAGATATATATTATGTGTGTATATATATAATTCGATATGTTCAGAGTGAGATATCCAAGTACATCTGCCGACAGACCACCCGTTTTCTACCTTAGAAGAAACACTGTTTTGTACGACGTAAAAGTTTTTAATGTTTATTGTGTCCAGGAATGGATGGAAAAAGTAAGCTTATTTATTATTTCAAAAAAAATGTTTACGACAAATAGTTGTGAAGACCGTACAATTGTTCTGTGACTAGTTCTCACATCAGTATTTCTTCTATATTAACAGGCAAAAAATCAAGTTCAACTCTTTTCACGATTCGGATCACAAACAAACAGAATTGAAAAACTTCATTCTTCTCTGCTATCAAATCGATAAGGAATAATGTTTATGAACCAATTCAAATGATGAATCGGGCAGTAAGTGAACACCATCTGTTCATAAAGTGATATCTATTAAAAGTTCAAAAACTGAATCATGCAAAAGAGATCCATGTCAAGACCCATCAACATCAAAAGAATAGTTCTGTTACAATCATATCAGTCAAATACGCACTTTCCAACAATAGATTATAGACACTTCTGCTAAAAATGGTATCAAATTTATAAAGGGTTTGAATATCGTAAAATAACGAATAAAGTATTTTGTTTTGTTTGATGTCTTAGTTATTCAAATGATGAATATGATAACACATTTAACAAAAATGGTTTTGATTACTACAAAAATGCAATAGAAAAGTTTAATAACATTAATCAATAATTAAATACCAACACGTTAATAGTATCTGTATAAACGCCAAAAGTAATCGAAAGAATAATACTGACATATGAAAATAATCAACAGCATCACGAAAAAAGAGCATCTTACAGAGAACGCAATGTGAGCTCTATATGCCAAAATAATGAATAGTATGTGGTTAGTCATACGATGACTAATTTAATCATATACAGATTTCCTGCAGAGATACGATTTTTGCTCTGAAACTAATCCATTGGATGAAAGTTATAAATTTAAGCAAGAATCAAATGGGATTCTATTTTCTGTTTCCCGTTTTTTACACTGAGCCTGTTACCTTCAGACATACAGAAAAATTATGAATAGAAGTATGTCTCTGCATGTACCACTCTAAAAAGCTTATTGTCTCCCTACAACAAGTTTCCCGATCGATCCATGCAAATTGATAAGTATAGTATTTCTTAGATTAGATTCCAGTGACGGTAGAGCGCATCTATTAAAGAAAAATTATTTCCTTGACTGTTAAGTCTAGCGTTATACAAACAAATGTTCGTCCGTCTGTTCGCAATAGAGCAGTGCGACACCTCCGTGCAAAATCTATCTTGAAAAAGAACTCTTAATTATTTTACTTTTAATTTAATTTTAAAAGGTTAATTTTCAGTACGTCAAAACTATTTTAGTACAAGAAAAGGAAAACTTCTTTCAATACAAGCATAAATGGAAAAAAGTTTTCTGACTAATATGTGTTCGTTCAATTACTACTATCCATTTCAAAATATTGTGACATGAATAACTCGAGAACGGAATGAGTTATCGAGATCGGATTTTCGTCTACAAAACAAGATCCAAGCAACGTCTCGAAAATCCATGGTTCGGGAGCTACGGGCGTTTTTCTAGCAGCCTTGAGATTTCTCTGCCATTGGGTTTGGGGCTGTCAGAAATGAACGAAAACATAGGTTACCGATTATGCTGAATCTCGTGGCAATATTTGTTTTTCAAAACAGTTTCGAAAACCTAGTGAAAATGCACATTAGGTGAATTATTCCATTTTTGCCTATTTTTGAGTAAAATTCAAAAATTCATAAACCAGCCAAGATTAACTCAAGTTATGTCAGAATATCAAGATATACTCTATTTTACCTGCTTCAAACGATTTTTTTTTGAAAATAGTAAAAAACACTCTCGTACTTCGAAAGATATCTGAAAATCCTTTCAAAAACCAGAGTATTTCTGACAGTCCCAAACCTGACGGCAGAGGAGTCCCAAGGCTGTAAGAAAAACGTCCGGAGCTCTCGAACCATGGATTTTCGAGATGTTGCTTGGATCTTGTTTTGTAGACGACACCTTGAATTATCCATATATGGGAAAAAACTGATAGATTTTGATGTAAAACTTTGGATCTATAAGCTGGTTTTCCAGAGATCCACACAAAAATTTAGATTCCTGCATATTATTACGTGCCTCGGTCTTGGCTACACGATGACGAAAATTCGATTCGTATTCAAGTCGCAATCACGCACATTATATTTGGATAGTAGTAAAGCGAAAACTTATTTAAATATCAACTCATCACGACATCTATACATAGAGCATCGTTTCATGCACAATGAATTTTACTTAGAATACACCTGCTTCTCTGTTTGAAAGATGAACAGACCTGTATCTAAGAACACAGTGTCCTCACGATACCCAAGGAGTGTGACTTTCCATGTATAACATTGTAGAATATGTGCATAATGAGCGTTGCAAACAGTCAAATTGATGATTCAAATCTCTATATTTTATTCGTTCTGACTTGTTTTCTCCCTTTGAGAACAAAAGTAGGATTTTCTGAACACAATTTATTGTACTATTAACTGATGTTCATCAATAGCAATAGAAAGAAGAAAAATTCAACAAGGTAAGAATCACACATCGGTACTTATACATATAAAAAAATCAGAACAAAAAAAAAAAAAGATGGCTGTTTAACAGATAAAAGAAATGAATTTGCAAAGATTTTGCACAAAATATAGTTCAGTTGATGGATTTAATAATCAATATCAAAATAGAGAACAGAAAGAAAAATGGAATTTACAGTAAAAATAAAGCTCAACAAAAACAATGGCTGGTCATCTCATAAATTCATAATTAACAAATGCGATTCCATATTGATAAGAGTTATATCACTCGTTGAAACTTTTGATCATAAAAAAAAATGTCAATGTGAAAGAAGAGGATAAAGAAACAAAACTCTATGAAAAAAACGATATGCATTCTATTAGGTTTTTAATCGACATTGATCCTTTGGACGGATGTTACATTTACATAATCACGGTTTAGCACATGTATATAAATTAGTTTTATTTTAGTAATAATAAGTAAAAATTGTAGTGTTTTGCACAATAAAAGAGCATTTTTTAAAATTTAGCAAAGAAGAGACGGAAAATCAGCACAAAAGAAGAAAGATCACTGTTCAGCAGAAAAGAAGAAAATACACTTGCACAGATTTTGCACAAAATTTAGTTTAGAAATCTAAATTATACAGTTGATGGGTTTAATCACTATCAAAATAGAGAACAGAAAGAAAGAAAAAGAAGAATGTACAGTAAAAACAAAGCTCAACAAGAACAATGGCTGGCTAAACAGATTATTCCCATAAATTAACAAATTTAAAGAAGAGAGATAAATAAATAAAAATAAATTAACTTTCAAACAATTTCATCTACTTCAATAACGGTGGACGAATACCACCCATATCTAAAACGAACAAAAACATCAAGAACAATTGTCAATAGTTTGTTCAGCAAATTTTTAAGATAATACTTTTGGTTTCATACTAATAGAACATCAGTTCAAAAGCAAAATTTTAGTTTAATGAATGAAAAATATAAAGAGTGCACAAAAAATTGTAGCTTTATCATATAAATCGATTCGTTTAAATCGATGTTTTTACATCCATTATTACTTAACAAAATAAGACATTTCCGTACTATTCAGACTCTTTCATTGAGAACAAACAGTAAAAATATTTCATTGAGCTAAGGATTTGTCTGTAAAGTACAAAAACTTTACTACAAAGTAATGAAAAATTACGTAATAGCACCCTTATTTAATCACCCAAGCTGAATGAATTCGAATTCATCTTACTTTGATTTGTATTGGTATTTGGACGCTGAGATAACTGAGCATTCATCGATGGAAATCCACTTTTCGTTGGACTCTGAAAACCTGCAATACCAAAGAGGTCAAAACGAATGATTAACAGTTGATAAAGAATAAATGAGTGACTACTTTATTTTGCTTATATTACGACTCGGTTACATTCGTTTAGTCGAATTATCTTCAAAAAATATCACCGTAAAATTTTCTTCAAAAACAATGTTTATTTATTTCATAGCTCGCTAAAATCTCTCACTATTTGACGCATATTTCTTCAAGTTTAAAAGAACAACATTTTTTGTTTGAATTAGAACAGTGATGTACGACTTTCAGTATCTGTATCCAAATGTATTATTGTACTCATACCCCGAGTACTCTAAAGGACCTTATTCAAAAATATATTATGTTGTCGTTATCATTGGATAAAGTCTCATGAATGTAATCGAGGCGAGATAGGAGCAAAACATAAAATTTATTTATTTTTGATTAGAGATGTGCAATCCGACCCGAAGGTTGAGTAGGGATGCGTTACATTCATTTAAGTTTTATCTTTTTTGTGGTACGAAGTTGTCCGATACAGATTTCGTTCTTTTTTATTTACCCGAAAATTGGAAGATTTTAGTGGAAAACCACAAAAGTTTAGTGAAAACATACAAGATTTTAGCTAAAATACATGAAGTTTTAAAAAACAGTTACTTGAGAACGTAATGATAATTTCTCATCTTCAGCCGAAAAACATGAGTACAAACTTCTCGGGTCGAGTATAGGTGAAAAAAAAGATTTGTGGTGGAGTATGGATACGAAAACAGTCCCCGTGCACATCTCTATTTTGGATCACTCCTTTCAACTTACCATTGTTAGCTAATTGATTTATTGGAAGTGATTGTTGTTGTTTTTGTCCACGACTGTATGGTGAAAGTGTGTTTAAACTGATGTCTAATTTATCATTCAAATCACTCCATGTATTCTGAATAAAGAACGAAAGAAATCATAAAAAGAATGTAAAAACATATAATTTCACGCATAATTTTTAATTTAGATTGTTTTTATTATTTATTTGTGAGCAATCCCAATTTGAAAGAAGCAATTGAGAGCATTAGTATTATCATTAAACTGTATTAAGGAGCAAAAAAACAAACCTGTTTCCCTGAAAGTTCTTGTTGCTGAACCGGAAGTGAAGAATTATTTTTGAACGCAGCCTGAAAATTAGCAATGAAATTGACTGCAAAAACAACGATTAACACCACTCAAGTCATCTGTATCAATATCAGTTATTGGTAATGTTTTTACATTTAAACAAATGTCTGAACGACTTAGTCATGTAACTCGGCCCGCATATTCTAATTTCGAAAACGGTTCTTTTGCATTTTGTTTCTCTTATAATTTTTGAACGAAGATACGTTCAGAGCTGTGTAACATCTTAAATTGACGAAAAAAGTGTGCTGAAAGCGTTAAGACGTTTCTGTTCTCTACATGTTTAGTCGTTTAGGAAATGTACAGTAGCAGAATTATGTGGTCAAGTCATGAATTCATTGTATAAAACAAAACTATTCTTGTGTTTGTTTGGGAAGAAAACGTATCAGAACGATGAAACAATCGTTCTCTTTCTTTGTAATTTTGTATTTTATTAAATAATTTCTAAATATTTAAACGAGAGATTTAAGTTATACTTACGTCGAAACTGTTGTTAGATGTTATTATTCCTCCTTGTGGTCTTTGAATGAACTGATTTGAATTGGTCGACATCATTGGAGATTGAGTTGACGGTTGAAAAGCATTAAATTGTGGTGTTTGTGTTTGATTGAATAATTGTGGAACTTGTGCTTGTTGCGGTTGAGACAATGGCAACGATGTGAAAAAATCAAAATTTTGTATTGGTGAAGTAGTGGAAGATGGTTGTAAAGGTTGTACAATGGAAGCAGGCGAGACGTTGTTTGTGGACGATGGAGAAGATAAAAACGGTTCAAATGGATCAAAAAGTAACTGATTAGAAGCCGGCTGAGTGCTGAAAAGAAAAATATTAAATTCATATTGTTTGAATTTTCATAATGTATATACGTTTTAGGTGTTGTTGGATTCAAATTATTGACAAATAGCGGTGGCTGTTGTACAGATTGCGTTGTTGCTTCATGAAAATGTCCAAAATCATCGTCTATTTGTTGAGTGATGGGAGCTTCATGAAACGGAGTAAAATCATCGGATGTTAATAAATCAATTTGAGGCGTGACAGGTTGGACAACAGGTTTTGGTAGTTGAACGGGGGATACACTAGTTTTGACAGACTAAACGAAACAACATATTTATTATTATCAACAATTGGTTTTTTTTTGGGGGATAATTTAAGATATTACTAGACACAAATTGATCTAAACGTATTCTTTTCAAATGTGTATATAAAGAAAATAAATTAAATGACTAGAAAATTTTCACCTGTTTGACTTCATTTTTTGAGGTTGATTGTTTCGATTTTGCTGTTGCTTTCTCCTGCTGATTTTCATTGAATTCATAATCAATATCCTTAACAAAACAAAAGAAATATTTTAATAAATGTTCAACAAATAGAATAGGTTGCCAAGAATATATTCTAAAAAAAAGACAAAAATCTTGATCAAACATTACAAAATGTCTTCATGTTATCGAATCGAGTATTCGATAATATATCTCAAAAAAATTTAAATTAATAAAAATATATAACGATGTACGATTATTTCAGAGAAACACAGTTTTACTATTGTTAAAAACTGTGTAGGGTTTATATCGATATAATCTGGGCACATTCAGAAACGTAAAAACATATGATAGATCAGTACGCTTTTTCCTATGCCTCTCTTTCTTATGCAAAATAATGTCAGTTTATTTCAATTCAATCGTATTCTGAAACAATTCATGTGTACTTTAAAATCATTTCGACTGTTGTTCCCAACATATTAACTGAGATAATTGTGTATATTTACAAAAGAAATATTTTAATAAATGTTCAACAAATAGAATACATTATCAAGAGTATGCTCTGAAAGAAAGACAAAAAATCTCCATCAAATACTATAAAATGTCTTCATGTTATCGAATCGAGTATTCGATAATATATTTCAAAAAAAAATTAAATTAATAAAAGTATATAACGATGTACGATTATTTTAGAGAAACACAGTTTTACTATTGTTAAAAACTGTATAGGGTTTATATCGATATAATCTAGGCACATTCAGAAACGTAAGAACATATGAGATCAGTACGCTTTTTTCTATGCCTCCCTTTTGTATGTTTAACTTTCCGAGTTATTTCTTTCTTCCTTTATTTTTGTACTTTTCGATCCATGCGGTTAGATCTTATTTTATTGTTCAATCTATCCATATTTGACTTAGTCTATCACATATACACGATACTATTGCATTTATCACTAGCGGTCTACGGGACTGCAACCAAAAAAAATCTTTTTTACGGAGCCAAGACCCGTATCGGGTAAAAGTCTTCAAAATTAAGTAAATAGTCGGAAGTATTATTTTCCAGGTTAGTCTGAATCATTATACACTTTGTTGCTGATACACTTTGTTCAAAGGTAAAATATTTGTAAAAACAGCTAAAACTACAAGTTTCGTCTAGCTTACACAATAGAAAAAAAGGAAAATGTCTATTATAAAAGTTCATGGTTGAATACTATTCATTTTTGTCTATCAAAAATGAATCAACATCAAGTGTTGCAGTTATTGCTATTTCATTGTTATCACTATTCTCATTATTATTTTTCGTGTTACTATCATCACCTTGCTTCTCATATTTTCGATTTTTTGTTAATGTTTCTCAACGTGTGACTTTCAAACTACCAGCGAATCACGGGACCAGGACCAAAACTTTTTTCTTCAGGGGATCGGGATCAGAAACGTTTGGTCCCATAGACCTCTATTTATTACTGAGTACAAGACATATTTAGTTCCTTCTCTGCACGTTTTATATTTATATTTCTTAAAAACGAAAGTTTTCCATTTTGACTATAAAAAAATGATAAGAATTATTTAATTTATTTAAAAGTAGAACGAATTTTCGAACAGCTGTTGTTACTCACACTGATAAAAATGTTTTGTCCTTAAAATTAACCTTTAAAGTTTTTAATTCCTCTTACGAATTATTTTGATACTCATGCTTAATTAAATATAAATAGCACAGTTGTTTGTGTCTGCAGCTATGAAAGTTAGTTTCATAATGAACGGACACCGTTTCAGTTACGACGAATTTTAAATATGAAAAACTTGAATATCTTTACTAAAATTGTCGCTGAAACAAAAGTTGAAGATTTCAAAACTTCTTGACGTCTTGAAGAATTTGAACTTGTCACAAGTTCAAATTATGACAAAATTTTGATATTATTATGACAAAAATGAAAATTTTTGAATTTCTAAACGATGGTCTTTTGCGTTATTCTGGTCGTATTATCGGGATTATGTCATAGAAACGTTAAGAACGTGTCATTGATAGTGTCTTATTATAGTGGACAGATCTATTATGGAGGGATTAGAAATTCAGAAGTTTCACTAATAAGATGTCTATTGATCTATTATAGAGAGAGTTCAGATATTACCAGCGAAACTCTCCAGATCCCAAAAAATTCCTTCCCAAAACCGCAGAAATACCATGTCCTCCTACGGTATAGATCCCCGTATACAAAACCAATTATATCTCTCACACCATCCTTTGAACCTTTGACAATTTGTTGAAAACGATAATAATTTTATTCTATTTAAAATTTGCAACAAATTCAAATTCTCCAACCTGTGAAAACTTCCCTGTGAATGTCATAGAGGATGTTGAAAGAAAGACGTTAAGAACTCGTATTTATTACTCCAGAACTGTTGTTTTACATCTTAAGGAAAGGACATGGATGTAATCTCTCCGCACAATTATTCCCTAAAACTCAAACATTGACCATCTGAGAATGTTACTTTAGTGGTGACTTTCTTAACAATCGATCAGATCTTTATTTCTCTTCTATTCAACGTTATTGGAAAAATATTCAATCCTAACAAATAGGAGTTCGATATTAAATATAACAAACAGTGGGATAATCTCTCATTCATAATTAAATACCTTTGATTTTCTGTCTCTATAATTATCTATATTATCTTTTCGGTATGTGCTCGCAGAATCGGTAAATTCCGTTTGTCGACGGTTAGATGGACGATCGTCATCATCACTAAACACAGAAATATAAAAGATTAATGATTTTTAACTTATAATAAACAAAAATACTATTGTTTTTTGTAAAACTCAATCAGACTGAAAACAGATTGTAATTAAAATTGCTCAGATAAAATATGAATGGAATTATTGCAATCATCATATCAAATATCAGATGACGCGCATGAATATATCATCATAGCAATTAATACTCATTCGCTAACGAACTTTTTTAAACTTTAATTCTCATCTCTCCAGTCCAATGACCACTGAAATCAGGTTATACTATTGCATCTGTGCTTAAAGGTACCAAGACAATGAGCATTAGATAGCTTGTTCAAGACGATGACATGACTGCCGTTGCCGGGATTCGAACTCCATATCTTTGAAGTAAGTTGTCTGCCCACTAGACGACTGAGTCACGCTGCTCTCAAACGAACTTTTCTTTTATATGTAGTTAGTTCCTTCTCTCACACACGTGATATATAACATTTTGCATTAATCTTTGGACAGTTTCATACGTCAGTAAAACTATTATTGAGCTATGCATCTCTTTCTCTAACTATCTTGCCTTTTTGTAATAAATACAAAAGATTTTGTTTTAAAATAAATATACGACGAATTATTACAATCAGATCTATAACAATTGTCTGCAAAAAATTGACATAGATTCATTTCTCATTCAGAAACTCTTTGGAACAAACAGGACACAGTAATAGGTTAAGAATTTTAATTTTTCTACGTATAAATTCTTCTGTTCTATCATCAATAGTACTCACCTGAAATCGGGTCCATCATCGTATGATGTTCGGCGCTGTTCTAAAACTAATTCTTTAACTTTTTGTGCTACGTCTTCAACTTTATGTACACAATCTTCGATAATTCCAGGATTTGTTGAACGCCATGGGCCATCTAATTCTGCAAAGTCTTTGTTACGTTTACTACCATTAGTTTTTGGACTCTCATCTGAATAATCATAGTCATTGTATCGATCACCTGTAGAAAAATAAACAATAAACAACTAGACAATCAACTACACTTTGGAGAGATTTAAAAGTCAAATGAGTGAAACGATAAATGGGCAAAGTTAAAATACTCAGAAAAAACTCTAAAAAGAAATCAAGAGATTGATAGTAAACTATAGAATTCAAACAGTGTACAATGTATTTAAGTGTGTCACATGCTCATTAACTATCGCATACACTAGTTAATATTCAGATGTATATGTCTCAGTAGGCATACAATAGTGAAATCAGTATTTTTCAGTCAAGAATCTAATTAGGTTTTGCGATTTCGGTCCTGGTTCTGAACATAGATGATTTTTCTTTAAGATAAATAAAGGCTTACATTATCCTCTACAGAATTATAGCAACAGTTGAATTGGCAAAATAATGGGGCTTCACGACCCCATGCATGTTTGACCGATGCACTTGCGAATCTTGAAAACTGGGTATTCTCTGCTCGATTAGACCATTCCATCAGCTCGGGCGTAATTTCAATATACGGAGCGCTCGAAAACTAAATTAAAAAGCTTAAAGTTTTACTATAATTTTACAACTTTTGTCATTCTGACAATTTGAGAGAACTAAAGTATAACGAACTACGGAACTCTGAAGGATCAGGATTAAGGCGACAAGAATTAAGAATCAGCTCAGATATTTAAAAATCCGTTTCATGACTAAAATAGGTACGTCTTTCTTGATTGGAAGTTCGTGAATAGGAGTTTCAGTCCTGATTCTTATTATATAACTAAATGTACTCGGACTCAGGACTGAAAAGACAAAATCTCAAAATTAATTCAGATCTATACATCTGATTCTCAACTAGTATATGGAACGATTTCGAGAAAGAACGAACTTTTTATAGTGAAAAGCCCCACATTTTCCAATTAGACGGGAAAATATTTTTTAAAATTACAATGGAAAGTATATCCGAACGTAACAATTTTACTGAGTTAAGTAACGAATGCTTCACGTTTGGCATCAAATCGAGCAGTTCATATCTATTTTGAGCGTCACTGATCAAAAGAATAACCAACAAGTAGGTAAGTAGAAAAAATAATCATTGAAAACAGATTACTAAGAACAGATAATCAGAAAATAGAAACTTAGATGTACTCGATGAATACAGAAGTTTTTTTTCACGATGTTCAAACGAGAAGAATTTTGATCACTACAACGTATTATAAGAAGTTTTATCAACGTTTTGTGTCGATTTGGATATTTAACATCAGTTTTTAATCGTTCTCATGTAATTTTTACGAAAATGGAGAGTATACCGTTATTTTACTAAATGTACATACCGTAGCGATGTGATTGTGATTCTCCACTCATTCCCACATATTTATCTCGATTTGTTTTTGCTTTTTTTCGTTCATCTCGTAAGCGATCATCATCTTGGACAAATTCGATAATTTCTTTTACTTTATGACGAACTATAAGAGTTCTGAGATGATAATTATAAGCTGTTATTCGTATCATAAGAGCCACTTACCATTGATTCCTTGATCTTTGCCGTGGTCATCCGAATATGAGAAAGATTCCAATGATTTAAGATCGTACAAATGTTCACGAGTTGATGTTACCACTTTTTCACCACCATTTTTCAATAAATATAACAGCACAAGTAATGACTGAAATAGAAATAAAACGAAAAAAATAAGTGATAACATCATATTTATATGATGTTATAAGTAGTTTATAAACTACTTTTACTACGCTCTATTGGCACGGAAAACTATGAATTAACGAAGTTAACAATAAACAAATATGAAACAGTTCCATGGTAGACTCTGGAAATTCATTGTTTCAAAATATAAGAAAAAAAACTTGTCAGGGCCGCACCGTTTGGGACTCAAATATGAAACTTCGACTATTAATTCTTGAGTTCGTTTCGGTAATCAGTAATTAAAAAAACGATGGATGAACTCTGACAAAAACAGAAAATGCTTAATCGATAATTGATAGTTTTTTTACACGGACCGTGGTTATTAAAATAAACGTCGGTTCGACTGCTAGACCACCGATGACCGACGGCTATTAGTAAAAATTGATGACATGGGTATGATTCCTGAGAGAAACGATAATAATTATTACTTATTTAATTAAGATCATAACTGCAATGGAGAAGGCAAAAAAAACAGTAAAAAATACTAGGGTGCTGAATATATAACTTACACTCCTCCTTCCTTCATATAAACTTTATTTTGTTAGAGTACAAGCGGAAAAATATTCCATTACAGTATTCTAAACTAAAACTATCGAAAAAACACAAAATCAATTTTGTACGAATAGAGATTTGAACATATGAACTTAGCTTTGCAGTAAACTGCAAACTAAATTCACTGTTCTGTGTCTACATTCTGTACAACGATTGAAGTTGTGTAATCGACTGAATATTATCAGTAGTAATTTGTTCTCTATTATTCTAAGAAGTTTCACGAAAAACTTAGTGACACTTTCGATATCTCGACATACGCACAAATAAACACATTAGCTTATTAATAAAATCCTCCAATATTTGTACTCTACTCTTATTTGAGTGTCATTTCTGTTCAGAAGACCTTGTTTTTCTTTTCTTTTATTTACCGGCAAAGAAAATGCATAAATACTTGTATTGAGAGACTGAAAAAAATTTCCGAAGCAAAGTATGTCTTATAGGCCAAACAAGATTGTACTAGAACTCTTGGACTTCACAAATAGGACTTATATCAGTGGAACTCGTAGAATAGTAGAGTAACAATAATTAATATAATTTTACTTTGTATGTTCTTCTCCAGAATTTTTTTTCCGATTGAAACATTCTTTTCCATAACATTCCCATCACTTCACTATAATGTTCATAGGAATAAGACAGTTGAGATATTTCTTGTAATAATTTTCCTAAATGGAATAGTTAACAAATAGAAACATGTTTAAAACAGAAAAATTGTTAAAAGAATCCTTTTCTAGTTACACATAAGTAACCAAGTCTTTTTATCTTATTTTAATATGTAGCCAACGTATCTGAAGTGTATTTTACACAGTAAAAAAGCTTCTATAGCCAACTTCAATCTAGTTTTACGCTCATTTTAGAAATATGATGAGATTATTGCTTCAAGGACACAATTTACTTAACAAATTCAGACTTCTTCTTAAAAATACTTTAATGTTTGGTAACAGTTGACTTACCCGGTGGTCCCCATGATTCGTCATTTGTGGCTTCGACAATTTTTGCTTCAGCTTCAGTGTAGTTCATAACAATATTAGTTACTTTGTCGACCATTTCTCTTACTTTGTACGGCATTGTGGGTAAATAGCTTCCCAAATTCAATTTATTAAACGCATCCATCTTGTCTCACGTTTACGTACAACAACAAAGCAATAAATAGATCAAACTAAAAGAAAGAGAGAATCAGATTAGAGAAAGTGGTATCAAATATCAACAAAGATTCCTCATGCACAAATTAACGGAAAATCAAAAAGTTATTTGTGAAAAATAGCTCCATTTGTTGCAGACGTAAGCACAAGAATCAACGAAAAAAACACAAAAACTGGTTTTATTTTACCACTTACGCTTAACTTTTTACGTCTAGTTAGCTTTAGCTTAACTCGAAGTCAAGCCAGTCTGAGCAGCGGCCATTTTAGGTTCCATTGCATCATAGACTCTCACCAATTGTTGTTGAAATGTTAAGATGTTCGATTCAACTTTTAGATACAATAGAAATTATTCTTCAATAAGAACAACATTGTTTTTAAAGTTAATTTTGTAAAACTAAATTAACTCCATAAACAACGTGGTGGGATCTGTTTACAAAATAAAGATATAAAGACTCTCGGAATTGGTTAGTCTTAAAGCACTATGAGTGGAGGTCAAATTTTTTCACAAGTCAAGTTAGTTTACAATTGATATCTCACAGACGATGACATTAGTGATAAAATGATGTGGACAATTAATTATAATTATTGATAGTCGAAATTAATTATAAATGTACTCTATCTAGACGCTTGATAACAGATTTTTCATTGGTTTTAATCTTGAACTAATAAGAGAGTTTCACAGTTGGCCGATTGCTTTTAGATGTGTAAAATAAATAAAGAAAAAAATATTCTCCTTTCGTATATAATGAATCAGAGTTGTTGGCTTTCTTCACGTCTAATTTATGTCTTTTACTGATTAATTTTAAATATTATGTGGCAACTACGTTTCGTCAGATGATGATCACAAATTTCAAGGTAATAGGCACTTAATAGTTCTATGTAGTATCGCACTTAAATTTGTCTTTTTAATGATTATTGACAGAAGTAAAACAATAATTCCAATATTCTGTTGTTTATTGCCATTTTGTTTTTTAAAATGAAAAAAAAAATCGAAGGCAATTCTTGTTTAGTTTTCACCTATCTTATTACTATTTTCCCTAAAGCTGTCAATATTATGTAGCCATCAATATAAGCGATTGTTATTGAATTGAAACAGGACGAATGAGTTTTTCCATGTGGATCTATATGTGTAGAGATAAAAAGGCCAAAATGCGAAATTTTTCCGCAAAAAATTGGTATCAATCCTGTCATCAACTTACAATCACATGTTTATTCGATTGAAAAGAATCGTAATTGATAGTTGATCATTTCTCGGTTGAATGTACAAAGACAGTTGTACAGAAAGAAGGAATGACTTCTCTCGAATCGTGGAGTCTTTCTTCCCTGTAAAAGTTTGGATTACAGGGCAAAAGTGAAAAATTTCACATTGATTGTGACTTATTTTAAAAATACTGGCTGAGAATTTGATGTTGTTACAACGTTTGCTGTTTGACAGATTTTGTACAAAAAGAAAAAAAGAAGATTGTCTTTCTACACAAGATTTTTAACGATGAAAATGTAAAATATCTTCTGCACTATGGTCATTTTGTTTTATTAGTGATTTAGTTTTGCTTTTGTGATAATTATGTTATTATCTGGCAGATTATTTTTTAACCACTACGAACCGAACCGTAGTTGAAGATAAAACTAGATTTCTGTTCATCTGTTATAAAATGTTATTAGCAAAAGATTAGATCCTATCGGTAACATGATTTAGTTTTAACAATAAAAAAAACTTTTAAAGCTTTTATGCCAAATTAAAATCGATGGTACCTTAGTGGTTGAATGAATGAATTTTTCACATAAAGTGAGAGATCATTAAACTTTTCCGACCTATAACATGATGATCCCCCCGTCAGATAAATAGACAGATTTAATGGAGCAGATAAAAGAAACAAGATGCTAACTGAGTAAGAGATAACAGGCAATTATATAAAAAGGAATAGAGATATAAAGTAAATAAATAAAATGAAGAAACTAGAAATATTCGTAAAAAAGTTGACATTTAACATGAAGAAAGAGCTTTTTTCCGAAAAAGACAATAATTCAAGAAGATTATTCCAGTTGGTAGCTGTGGATCAAAAGAAAGACGAATGAATTGTTTGACAAGGGAACTCGATGACACGAAAAGGAATATGATCGTATTTCGAATGACGACAGCGTAAAAAAGAATGGTGAGGATGTTGAACCAAATAAAAAATCGAAAGAGGAATAATGCTGATGACAAATTTTTAAAAAAATTGAACAAGTTTGAAATATTTGTGATGAAGAGAAAGAATTAGAGAATTCAGTTAGATTTACAAGAAAAATAACGCATTAAGTTTGTTGAGAAAACTATCATAAAAAGTACAGTAACAGTCAAACTTTGGAAGAATAGAAGAAAGATAAATTTGATGTCGAACGTAGATTTAGCGTTAGAGCTAAATCTAAAGATAAGATTCAATGCTGATAACGTACGTCGACAAGCAAGAGTTATTTAAAAAACATTGGTTATAAATAAGTGGGAAAAGGTTGAAAGAAGAAGAAAAACAAGAACATTTAGCGACATAAGGTTAACAAAAGATCATTGGACAGTAAAATTTATACAATCTTGAACGTGAGAAAAGTTGTGCGAATAAGAAGAAGAGAGAGGAACAACTAAGAAGAAACATCAGGATACAGAGATATTTCATAATTCGGAGGAAAATAAAAACCAAAGTGATCAGTATGAAATTTCCTGTTCTTTAAAGTCACTGACTTCATGTGAAAATTGTTTACCTGTGCTGATATACAACGTCTAATATTTGTTTTCATTTTCTTTTGTTTCAGCATGCATTAAAATATATGGATAGACGCTATGGTGTTCATGTACGACGAATTAAAAGGTAAGAGGTACGCAAACATACCATTTACTTTCTTTATTCATATTTTATGATAGCTCCGAGCTCATTTAGAAACTGTGATTTTTATTTTTACCTTAACTATTTTTTCGCTCTTCCTTCTATGATCAGAGATGGGCACAATCTCAGTCATTTTCAAACAAAAATTTTTTAGTCTCAGTCTCAAACGTTTCAGTCATCATTAGTCACAACAAATTTTTTCTCCTTCAAAATACGATCTAAAACGAACAGATTTAACAGAGTAAATCAAAATTACATTTAAGTAATGTAACCTTGGAGAGAGGTTTCAAGGTCTTTTTCAATGTTACTGCCCTAACGAGAGAACCTTTCGAGGTTATAAATCGCTTTTTGATCGAAATCTAGTGGGCTAAAGGTTATCGACCATGCTGATCCCGAATATGATTATGGAAGCTGCCTATGGTCGTTCGAAGACACGGTTTTCTGGAAAACTAGTTTTCCAGATACTCTAAAGAATAACCATGCTTAAGGAGACATAGTTGTAGTCTATAAATTTATGATTAAAATGAGACATCTTCCAGCTCCACATGATCTTTTTTTGCAAAGTTATAAAATTTACAAGAAAAGCCCTAAATGCTCAGAGCTACAGAAAAAGGAAGAAATTAATTTAGGGCTTTTCTCGTAAATTCTATAACTTAGCAAAGAAAGGTCGCGTAGATGTGGGAGACGTCGCATTTTGATCAGAACTTCGTGGGCTACAATCGTGACTAATTAAGAAAAAGTCCTAAATTAATTTGTTCTTATTTCTGTAGCTTTAAGGATTTAGGGCTTTTCTTGTAAATTCTATAACTTTGCAAAGAAAGGTCGTGTAGAGCTGGGAGATGTCTCATTTTAACCAGAAATTTGCTGGCTACAATTATGTCTCCTTAAACAAGGTTTTGGTTATTCTTTAGGATTTCTGAAAAACTAGTTTTCCCGAAAAACGTATCTTCGAACGACCATGGACAGCTCTCATAATCATATTCGCAATCAACATGGTCGATAACCTATAACCCACTAAATTTCGCTCAAAAAGCGATTTATAACCTCCAGAGGTTTCCTCATAAGTGAAAAAAACGTGACTATTTTCAAACAATCCGCCACACAATAAAAAAAACGTCAGTTTCAGTCATAAAAGGAAGGTCATCAGTCATGACTGAGATTTGCTTATCATAATCCGAGAATTTTAAAAAAACTTTTAATTAAAACTATTTCAAGAGATTCTTTATCTAATTTTTAAATTTTTTGTTTGTTGAGTAGTCAAACGGTCTGCGGGACTGTTTTTAATTCGATGTTTTGAATTGTTGAATACGATGCGAAAATTTAATGATTGTGTCTCTTCTCAATCAGAAAATCTTTCTACTGAATTATATCGACTTTTTCCTCTTTCTTTGTGTTTTTAAGTAAATGAAAATTGTTTCATTTATCTTAAAAACATATCTTATTGAACACCAACGTTCGAACATCTTCAATTGTCTTGAACTCGAAGCTATACGTGACTATAATATATTTTCTCACTAATTTTTTTGTTTATTTTTGTTTTTTCAATTTAGATATTTGCTGTTTTTATTGTAAAAATGAAATATAGTATGGTCTGTAATGGCCGATTATATATCGTTAACCAGTACGCGTTTAATTAAATTTGAACAGTTAAAAATAAAATTATTTACACTATTACCAAAGTTAGTCTTATTAGACTAGTAATTTATCATCATTACAGAAAAAATGAAATGACGAAAAAGTTCACCAAAAGTGATTAGTCTCAGAAATAAAAATATTTCTCTTCTTTTTTTCTTAAATATATATTGAGGCTAATTTCTTTTGGTTTATTTTCTATATTTAAATACTGTATCATACTCTCTGTTTAGGTCTCGTCGTTCACTATTTATTTGTCTTTTATGTGCAGTAACCATACTGTATTTATTCTCCAAATGGATTCCAAGTAGAATTACTCCTGCAAATAGTAAGTTAAATTATTCATTACAACTTGGTTCATATTTTAAGAATGAAGACAATTTATTTTTCTTAATATCCTAACACAAAGAGCATATCTACATCTATTTTTATGAATAATTTATTCTCACGAGGAAACCTTTCGAGATGTCGCCTTCCCATTCCAATGATTTGTACATAGATCGATAGACCTCAGTGAGGTACTAAATACCCTAAAAGAATTCGTGCCCAGGACTCTTGAAGACCCGATTTTCTGAAAAAAACAGTTTTTCAAGAACTCTAAAAAATAACCAAAACCTTTTTTTAATGAGGCATGATTATAGTCTATAAATTTCTGATTAAAATGAGACATCTCCCAGCTCTACGCGATCTTTCTTCGCAAAGTTATAGAATTTACAAGAAAAGCCCTAAATTTATTTCTTATTTCTGTGACTTTGACCTGACAATGAACATTTAGGGTTTTTCTTATAAATTCTATAACTTTGCAAAGAAAGATCGCGTAGAGCTGGGAGATGTCTCATTTTAATCAGAAAGTTGCGGGCTACAATCGTGTCTCATTAAGAAAGGTTTTGGTCATTTTTTAGATTTCGTGAAAAACCCGATTTTCCAGAAAACCGGGTCGTCTAGGGTTATGGGCTCGAAACCTTTTAGAGTATTTACTACCTCACTGAGGTCTATCAGTCGATGTACAAATCATTGGAATCAGAAGGGGACATGTCGAAAGGTTCCCTCATCAGTGTTCGTAAAACAACAGAGTTCTTTTATTCTCTTTTGTTGTTTTTTTTTGTTTTAGTTCCAAATGAAATGTGTCTTGATGTAAAATTAGATTCTTATTCACGTGAAGTAGATGATATGAGCACAATTATTAATCATCAACCAATTAAATATGGAGAAATAGTTTCATTACCGTTCACTGGTACGTAAGACATTCGTATGGACACTGCGATTTAGTTTGTTTTATACAATTTTATCGTTTGAAATGAATATTTTCTTAATGATGGTCTTTTGTAATGCGTAGCAATTTTTTTGATGTCGTTTTTTTCTCCATAGTTTTTCGCTTCGATAAAACATTTTCTCTTTCGTTTTGTAAGTTCAATATTGTTTATTCGTGTATATTTAAACCACAGCAAATCAAAATTTCTGAAAAATTAGACGATTTTTTTAGACTCTAGATTCGAAAGAAAGAGCAGAGAATGATCATACAAAAATTGATTTTAGATTTTCACAACTATTCATTTTTAATACAACAACGGAAACAAAAAAAAGAGAAGAAGTAAACAAATAGAAAACTATTCTGCCTTCCTTACGCAATATTTTAACAACATGATCGTTCTCTTTTGCTGTACGAATTTGTTTCAACAGTTAATAGATAATCATAAATTATTTACAATGAAAATCACTGTTTATTTTGATGTTCACAATCATTCGTCTCGTCGTTCATTTTTTTTTCTTTTTTTTGAATCTTCTAATCTTAAATATGGTATCTCAGTCTAAGATAAGAAGATATTCCAGTTGACTGTAGTAAGAAGAATGGGAGAGAAGCACAAGTTCAGTTTTCTCGCAGACTGATTGCGACGTGCACTATGAACAATAGACAGTCATTCATTTCTACCGTTTTACTATTAATCAGATATGTCAATATCGGTAAAAATGTAAATCATCAGAAAAATTAAAAATTATGAGACATCGGAAGAAAAGTCTAAAAATCAGGAGGGTGCTGATGATACTAGGAGATTAAACAATTCTGATTTAAACTGGTGCTATATTTTTATCTGTCTCTGTGTATTTCAGGTAATGGTTATATTGGTCTATCTCTTTCGTTACAATCTCGTTTACAACTGATGTATGATCGCACATTCGTTTCCACCGCCTATTCACCGCTTGTTCAAATTACATCCGATACATGGCACGAATCATCAGCTAATGTTCTTCAAATGAGAACAGGTCTTGTTAGACGAATATCCTGCTTTAAACATGATGGTACAAAATCCGCCTATGTTAAACATTTGCTCTATGCTCATCGAACGAAACCGTCGTTATTAATACAAGAAGTTGAGATATCAAATCCGTCAGATTATACACTCGATCTTGACTTTAAACAAATAGATGAAACAAAGTCATCGACAACCACAAAACAATTAGATCAGCAAGATATTAGGTAATTGAACATTCCGATGAATAAATTATGTAACTGATCTTAGTTTTAAATTTTCATTCATTTCTATTAAAATTAATTATTCTTTACTCAGTCTATTTGTTTATTTTAGTTTTACTAGTGATGTGTCTTCATCTAATGATTTATTTACTCTTACAACATCTCAAATATCCGTTCGTCCACATAATAATAACTTTGTCATTATGGTTACTTTATCTCAAAAATTAAGAACAACTCAAGCACATATTAAGCCTGGTAGGTGAGTATTTAATGACTCATTCAAATTGTCATATTTTTTTACTTAATATCTGTTTCATGCTCTCTAGTGATGATAAATTTACTCTCTATCTGATAACAAAATTTTCTTCTCTACTATCTGATAATTTAATGGCTAACGATACATACGTTAGACAATATACACAAACATTACAAAAACAAGCGAAAGAAGTACGTACGTTGAGTAAAATTGTGTATAAAAATATGCGTAACAATTTTAGACTCCATTAATGAGTTAGCTGATCTATGTTATTATTTGGATTGTAGGATATGATATCTGCTCTACAATCATCAATATTTAAATTAAGAAAAGAACACATTGACGCATGGAACTCGGTAAGTATAAAGTGAATAAATTTTGTCTGTTGAATCACACAGATATGCTCCAGACTACTAGCATTGCACAGTGGTCACACAGGCGGACATTTGGCCAAAAATCGAAGATGAACTTTTCTGTGATTTGAATAGTGTCAGATATAGTCCATTCAACGCTCTATCGAATGGCGTAAAAATTTTGTTTCTACAACTTTTCCTTACGGAGTTATTCGATAAAGAAAATAAGGAAACATGAGAAATATGCTGAAAAATGGATGGATGTATTCAGTAAAATCACAACGCTAAATAGCGCTAAGGTCCAATCTCATTCATTTTCATGTTCGTCTCGATGTCCTGTGTTTATAGTGCATGCAGCTTTATGCAGTTTTGCTTCTGGGTTTTTCCGCAGGTTTTTCCAAGGTTTTGTTTTCCCTGTAGGTTTTCTCCTAGGTTTTCCCCTTAGTTTTTTAGGTACTTTCCATTTTCCTCAGCTGAGAAACACTTTTATTGAAAACTAATGTGATATTCGGAATCAGCATGAAAACTTGCGTCGAATGATGCTTAATTTGTTAATTTTACAAATAAAATATTTTTTGACAAAAATTCAGGGTAAGGATCCTCTTTACGACTTTTGAAATTAAAAAAAGGAGATGTCCGCCTGCTCTATGGAAAAATGCCCACAGTGCATTGTAGTCTTTTCTCTAGTTCGTAGTTGCTATTTTCTAATTTATTCGTACCTATCGGATAATTTTGATTATATTGGTCTAGATTTGGCATAGTGGTTTTTCGATATCTCGTTCCTTGGCCCCACAAGCGACCAATGGTGATATAATTAATCGAACGTTGTACTATATTCTTTGTTCCACACCTGCTCCTCTCTACGATCTCAGATTGAACGAAACAAAAAGAGAAGAATTAAAACAAAATTTATATCAAACAGATCGATGTTACGATGAACACAGTACATTGTAAGTACCGCAATATTACAGTGATAAATGAACCACGATTAAAACTTAACTGTTTTCTTGTTGTTGTTTTTTGTAGAGCGGGAAAGAAATTGTGGCTGAATCGTGGCGATGACTTGGCCGTATCTCAATTAAACTCTTTATGGAGATTAACATTAGGGAAAAAAGGGTGTACAAAACTATTACAATCGGGTATATAGACTGTTTCAAAGTGACCTATGTCTATGTGCTGTTCATTCGGTCGTTCGAATAGTTTTATAATGTGATCAGTATCAGTTACTTATACTTTGAGAGATACTAATTAATTTTCATTATATTCGCACGAAACGTTTTGTTTGTCTTTGGATGCATTAGAAATCTATGCGTTAAATGGCGGCAGTCTACCTTACCTATTCATTTTATCATTACATCCTATGTTTGTGATTCATTGTAAACTATAGTCATCTAAAATACAAAATTCAACTTGCTCCGATATGAAGAACTCACATTGGGGTTGAAAAAAGAAAAAATAAAGTGATCTAATTAATACATTGTTTGTATTTTAGGTGCTGATGGTATATTACAAGCGATGTTACTATCGGTGGGCGGTCTTCGTTTTCGTAATCATCATTTAGAAATGTATTTGGATCCAAAAGACTTACATCGTGATATGTTATTCTACAGAATTAATTTTGGTAAAAATCTTCAATTAAACATTACATTACAAGTGGAATTAGATAATAGAGCTGTGATTTATGCATCCGTTGATAAAGACGATTCTAATTCATATGCGTGTGATGCTGGATGTCTTGATGCACCAGCAAAATTAAGGTATTCATTTTTATAGTAGAAACATCACGCTATTTTGTCTACTAAAACTGCAACTAAATAACTTTGATGTAGTCCACTGTGCACTAAAAAAACGTTTCTTTGATGGTGCGAGTTAAAATAGAAAAAAAGGTTTAATCTATCTTTTTTTGCATCTGACGTAGCTTTGAATTTTGAGTTTATCCCTAAAAAGTGCACTGATGTGCAATTTATCATATGAATACTCTCAAAGGACTTGTCAGACCATTTTGCTTAACACTATTAAGTCAGCGTCTCCCAATAGAAATGCAGTATTAAGTAGCATTTTCTTTGTCATAGTTTTCTGCATTTAAACAATGAATAATGTTGAATCTGTTTTAGTACAACTCCTGTTCGTTTCCCAGTTAAAATGACCCAGCCACCAACAGCTATTTTATATGTTACCGAAGATTTTGAACATATTAGTCAATTGAAAGACACAATACATGTCCGAGAAGTCGAAATAGGTAAAAATTCATTAAACTAACATTTTAATTTTTAATTTTATTAAATGGATTTATTATTTCAGCTCCACCGCATGGTCATGATATATTAGCATTACATCGTCATGGACATAAATTAGGCGGTTTACCGCTCACATTTTGGATATCACTCATTATTCTAATTCTTATATTTCATTTATTTCTTCTCAAAATTGTTCTCAACGAAATGGGTTATTTCAATAAACAAATATTACCCACGCACAATCGACCTAGAGTATTGTGACCTTTCTTTTGTTCTTACTTTTCTAATTTTTTTTTTTCTCTCTCTCGTTCACTGTTATTTGTTTGGTTTTTTCAAAATAAAAAAAAATAAACAAGTCAAACAACGATATATAGTAGAAACAGAACGTTCATAAGTTTTATTGATCTAACGATAAGTTAATAATAAAATAAACTCTTTAGTGGAGAGTTCTGTGTAATTGGATCTATTCTCTACCAATTTAAAACAAACATGACCAGATTAACATGTTACACAAACAACAGTATTAGAAAAAAGTGTAAGCGAGTATTTTTTTAGAATATCACATACAATGACAATTAGTAGGTTTCGATCATTTAGAATACCTGCTGGTAATCGACAAGAAACACGGTATTTTGTTTATTTTAAAATGGATGATGATATTTTGTCCGTCAACATTTGACAGATATAAAACTTACTTATTTTCTAAAATATCTACAATGTTCAACGTAGTCCTTTTAATTAAACTGATTATCTCGTATACTTTTTTCATACATATTAGAATAGTAGAAGAAGAAAAAATAAAAAGTAGAAAGTGTAATGCAATTGACGCTATCTCAGAGTTCAATAGTTGACTAAATGTCCTAGACTCAATTTTTATGCTAAACATTACAATAATATTGGAAAAAATATATATTTTTCTTTTGTAATTAATATTGTTTTCTAGATTTTGTTTTTTTATGTAACTTGTAATTTTCTTTCTAAGACCTTATCGAGATATTTATCATAGACTTTTGTTTTTCTATTTGGCTTATAGAAATGATTTACCAACAATTCGTCCATTTCATTGATGTTGAACGAATGAAGACTAACTTCAGATGGATCACCTTCGATTGTTGATAGAGAAACAGGAGAAGAACGTTCAGGAATTCTTCTCATTGGTTGAATATATGGTAAAGATTCACGAACAGGATGTTTGTTGTGAGTGCGATCTTGAGCAAACAATGGATTTCGTTCTGTTTTCTGATATGAAACATCTTTTACCGTGAGCTCTTTCCCCATAATCAATGGTTCGACATTAAAATAATGGGTTTGATGATGGTGATGATGATGATGTCTGCTGGTAGAACGATGATTAGTATTATCGGTATGTGATATCTACAAAGAGATAAAGTTAAAAGTTTGTGTTCTCTAAATCAGATAGATACACAATTTTTTGAGCTTAATTAACAAAAACTCTCAATGAGATAGCATTATTTCAATTATTCTCAACTATATTTTAAATTCTGAAAGACGATTGTATTACACTTCAAATAAATTATATTTTATGTCTACAAAATTATTCATCGGTGATAATACTTTTATGCATTTTTAACTGAAATATGCAGTGCTATTCAGTTTTTTTAATTTTACTATTCATAATCGAATATAGCAATGCAAAATTGAAAAAAAAAGTTATCTGGAAACTTACCAAAACGGGAATATGCTGTGACGATTGATGATGATGGGGTAAATGTTGAATTGATGATTGATGATGATCTAAAGTATCTAATTGATTTTGATCGGCTTTTGCATAGTGATTGTACCAGTCCTCTTCCGATTTCAAATGTTGACGTTTTTGTTGTGTTCTATCAATTTCTCCATCTTTGAATGATGTATCTAAACTCGACGGTGTTGTCTGTCGTTTTGGTTTCTTTGTTTTTGGATCAGTGATATACTCATATTGTTTCTTGTCCTCGTTATATTTGATAATCGATCGAGATAGATTGTTGTCTTTCGGTTTTGTTGTTGGTTTTTGAGTGAATGAAGATACTGAAGATGAAGCATAACGATTTGCTATCTCAGCTGCATCTCCATACTTCTCTGGTTTCGTATCATCAAACGGTATCAAATGTCCATCTTCAGTCTGACGATGTTTCATTATCCATGAGGGATTTTTCAGTTTGTAATAGTACCAATAAGGATAAGAGTGTTTACCTAATGTAGGCTGTTTGGTTTCGGGTACATCGACTAGTTGACCTTGACCAGACGGAGCTTTGGGCACAAATCGTTGTTTCTTTTGCTTTTCTTTCTTTTTAGGCGTTGGCGGTCGTTCATTGTATAAGTGACGACGACGATGAGAAGGAGGAGAAGGTGATGGTTGTTCATATTCACTTTGTTGACGACTACTCGGTGGAGTTTCAGGAGTTGTGCGTACGGCAATTAAGTTATCATTAGTTAAATTTTCTTTATGACTGGCATTATTTGCAGCATCAAGATCTTCCTGTTTAATGTTCAGATTTGTTAAATAATCCTTTTTAAGTTCAAACGTCATGATTCTTTTCTCTTTCTCAAAAAAATGAATTTAACTTGAAGCGATTCAATAGCTAGCGTAACGAAAGCAAACAATTTATTTTTTTATCAAGTGGATAAATATTCTTGATGAGTATAAAAGAGTTTGTTTGTTCAGTTAAATAAATTGTGAATAATTTTATCAAAATAATTACATGGCTAAAAAAAGTCTTTTCATTGTTATTCTTTTAAGAATTAAAAAATAATAATTAAGCATAATGCGATCAGTATAAAAAAAGAAGTTGCGATATATACCTAAAAAAATTTCAAGAGAAGAAGTAATATTTTTCTGCAACATTTTCAACATTATTTAAGATGTTTTGATTAAAAGATAGAATTTATTTTTTATTTAAACAAAAGAAATAAACTGATAAAGGTGATCAGATCAAAATTACTGAGAAAATTATTGGATCTGATATGTAGCTCAAATCAAAAGGAGCTATTGTAAATATGCGAGATTTTATCTACCACAAGAATATCTGACATGTTTTCTAGTATTAGAAAAGACTTTGAGAGTGAAAAAAATTTGTATAAGATTGTTTACAAAGAAAGACAGTTAAAAAGGAATCACTGCAAAAGGTGATGACAATAAAGAAACCAAAAAAAAAAATTGTAGTATGCGTGTTTGTAATAATATTTGCAGTAAGATATCTAGAATAAAGTCTGTAGGTGCCCTCTAGAAATAATGCGTAGACTAGAAAACCGAAATCGGCGGCGTTTTTCGAAAAAAGTATCTCTAACGTATAAGTTTTTGATAATTTCATGTATTTTAAGTTTTTTGCGAGAAGCAAGATGGTTTTCAGAGATTTCAGCGGCTTGTCCAAAGGTAATGCTGTGATATTTTTGACGTAGTAATTTGAGGTTTTCTCAAAAACTATAAGACATAGAAAGTTTGTTTCTGCGCTATTCGACGCGGCTCTTGTCACTCTACTTTGAATATAAAAATGAAGATTTTTGATTAAAGACTCGAGCTTCCAGAAAAGCTTTTTAGACCGGTAACGCTATGACATAAAAAGGCCCTAAATTCTAACTACTCCTCATTAAAGTGCGAATTCAGAAGAGCTAATAAAAAGTGTCTTGTGCAAAGTTTATAGAGGAGCTAACGGGCTTTCTTCTGGTAAAAGAAAACTTTTTTCCAAACCCTTCCGCACGCCCAGAAAAGTCGATTTTGTAAAGTAACGCTGTGACACACTTTTTTGTCGCACCATTTTTAGACACTAAACACTGTTCAAAAAACTTTATATTTATAATCTGTGTAGTTCTAGGTTTTCTGAAAAGACTCCAGTTGAAAATAAAGTTCGAAAAATTCTCTGAGGCTTTCAGACTAAGGTGGAAGTTGACACGTTTAAGCAACCACTGTATCTCGACTGAAAAATAGATCTCAAAACAAAACGAGCCATTTAGTAAAGAACTGAATTCTCTATTCAATGGTATGTTTTCAAAATTTTTTGAACAAAATGTCTAGGTTAGAAAACTGAAATTAAAGTTTTTCAAAATTTTAAATTAAAATTTTTACATTGAAAGTTAATTTTTTCTTCAAAAAAAGGTCAGATTCGTGATCGACATGAAAAGCTGCGTCTAGTGATGTGCCCCTATAGATTGATTTTCTGATGAAAAAAATTCAGAAAACACTTGATCAGCGAAGTATTGCGTTACGTGGACAAGCCGTCAGATGTAATATCCTCTATGCGTATTACAAGAGGAAGAGGAGCAATAATCAAATAACTCTCCGCAGAGCAACAATAATGCAACGACAAGTAACATGCTTTATCTGTTTTGTTTACATATGAGTCAATCCATATGAAGCATATCATCCTTCCATCGACTTTTGACCCAAACTGTAAGATCAACCTCATTTTGTAAAGCTCATCGTAGAGCTGAGCCTAGCTGCGCAAAACTTCAAAGGTCATCGAATAGTAATATTAAAAGTGACTCAAATCATCATACTAGTGAACAATTATAGATATTTAGTTATCTCAGACCATGCATTTTTTAAAAGAATAGAAATTTTATTAGTTAGACTATCTAAGAAGTACCACTATTCATTCGATAGTTTACTCCTTGTGAAGATCTAATCGATCGATGTACTTTTGTTGTTTATTTATATTATTTTCTCATAATTTAGCCTCTATCATCATTTGCAAATACACTAAATTCGATCTATTGTGAGATTTTTTCAAAATGTTCACAATATGAAAGGAGCTACTTTAAAGAGGTTTTCTATTATTTACCACTTTGTTTGTTGAGCACATACTTTATCCAAAAAGCACATTCTTCTTCCTTTTCTCAGTTTCTAACATTAAGCTCTA